AAGATGAATGCTAATGGTATTGGGTACGGATATAATCAGGCTTATTTTATTCCCATAATTTCATACAGAAATTCATACAGAATCTGAAATACGAAGTCTTTGACAATGTTTTTCTATTGATATGAGACTAATAACATAGCTGCACTTCTACAAGACTAAAAATAGTCGGGCTATGTGGTCGCAAGTTCGGGTTCCGGATAAAAGGATTGGTGTTCAATTTCTAGGCCAGACAAAGTAGTTTCGGTATTAAGAAAAAATAAAAACAATAATATTCGAAGAATATTTCTAATAAACTTTGGATTTGCAGATTCAAGTACTTACTTAGTTCAATTTGAGTTTACACTTCGATTTCGCCATCACCACGTGGTTAGTTTAAAACACATATATTATTATATTTTTGGCATTTAATTTATTTCTTAAAAGATACCTGTTTCATTATTTTGTGTAACCATATTTGAATAAACAATATTTATAAAGCCCCATGGTTATTTTTGACTAAATAAAAATTGTATTTTATAGTTTCCAGGTTCGATCGTCGTCGTCAAAACAACTGCTAAACATGGTCTCATTTGAGGCACAAGAGTGAATGTAAACATAGTTATAAAGCTCTGAGTTGGACAGTAGTAAAGTAAAGTAGATAATTACTGTTTATTTTATTTAGTATACTAGCTGTTCCCACGCGGTTTTACCCGCTCTCCTCGGCGCCTATTGTTCGTATCGTGATGTATTATAGTTTCAGCTCTATATAATAGTATAAGTATAAGATTTGCTTGTTAATGACAAGCCCTATCGTGCTCGATCAGTGACTTAGGACTAGCTCAATTATAGGAGATAATCACCTGTGTGAAAGGATAAGTACCTACTTACTGCTGGTATGGCAACTTGGTATCTTTTTCAGAGAGGATAATTAGATGCCAGTTAAGTTTTGCTTTATTTAAAGAAATATATTAAGCATATTGTAGTCCAAAATAAAATCTCCTCTATTTTAAAGTCGTAAATTAAATCTGTAGTTTTGTTCATAAAACTATTTTCCTTGTTCAAGGTACCTAGGTACATAGAATACCTAGAAGTTGGAATTCGATTCACGATGAAGGTGTTTCATTTGCATGACTTTGATTGCCTATTCATGGTAGACGGTGTCCATGTAATGTCTGCGTTACACACGCTTTAGTAATGTTTGGAATCAGAACAATGGCACTTAAATGATTTTTGATGCACTGGTTTGCTAAGCGTTTTTACTATTCAATGTGCTCCATATTTGACTGTCTTATTGGTTAAACAGACGTAAGCGAGACTAACAAGCAAATAATCTTGGACTAATTAAAACATTTTTCCAAAAATCTTCGTCGACAATAACATTGGTTTATAGGTATTCTATTTTTATATACCTCTACTTAACTGTGGTTATAATTACTTCAAAGTAAGACATTACTTCGATCACATAACATAACATAACATCACTCTTTTTATCCCCGAAAGGGTAGGCAGAGGTGCACATTACGGCACTTAATGCCACTGTACAATGTAACACCCACTTTTCACTATTTATGTTATGAGTCCCATGTAATAGGGGGTGAGCCTATTGCCATATACCGGGCACAATTCCAGACTCCGTGCTACTTCTGAGAATTTTGAAAAACCCAGTAATACTTTGCCCGACCCGGGAATTAAACCCGAGACCCATTGCCCGGCAGTCGCGCTTGCGACCACGAGGCCAACGAGGCAGTCAAGTACATTTTTATGAGCATTTTGGGGAAAGAACTATTTACCACACCATGTGAAAGTAGAGCAAGCGGCAGATATTTTTTATAGTGTAGTCTGTAGTCCTTTATAGACCTAATGCTCACGTAATTGTGATACACACTTTAGGAACTTGCCATGATCTCCAGCATCTCTCATTAACAATCTTTATGTCATAGTCGTTATTTTTAAACGATAATAGATACCTAATTTACAATTTTGTGGCCATTAAGTTACATCATTATGATATGAGCTTATGGCACCGACTACTAACCTATCAGTGGGTGGGTAACCAATACTAATGATAGTTATATTTTTCTTTTTAGTTTTGACTTTTTGTTTGTTATTAGTTTTTGTTTTTTTTAAAGGTTGTTTTTAAACGCAGTTTTTATTATTTTATCATTTTCAGTGTAAAGCTACATAGATCCGTTTTGTCACGTATAATCTATATAGTGCAAAGTTCTAATCAATACAAATTAATCTAGCCCAATCACAAGGTAGTTAAACCACTGAGGAGTTCTCTCGACTGTCTGTCGGCTCCATCATCAGGTCGACTCTAGACCCTTATCAAATTGTAGTTTTTAAAATTCTTGTTGAAAAACATAATAGACGCATTACTCGCCCCTAGAATTTTCGAAAGTTCCCCTCGGTTTCCCTAGGATCTCATCATCAGATCCTGACCTCATGGAAATGGGACCATCTCGGGAGTATACCCTTTCAAACACAATAAGAGTTTTGGAAATCGGTTCACAAATGGCGGAGTAATGCGTGAACAAACAAAGAAAAACAATCAGCCGAACATAGTACCTTTTCCTTTTTTGAAGTTGGTAAAAATGCTTGGAATGAATCTGCATAAGTGCACCGCAAATAATCCGGGTGGAATTTGAAAACATGGAAAACATTCCAGGTAGATCCTACCAAATGACTAAAGCTACATGACGTTTGCTTATTTGGTGGTTTACGTTAGATAGCTCTATACAACTAAGGGTCAATTTTTCCAACGCCAGATAACTTTATCGGAGGAATAATTTTGTCATTTTCCATACGAAATCATTTCAGACTTCAATTTTATTATACGAATAATAATTATCGGTGTTTTTGTAAAATCGGCCCTTAATCTATTGCATGTGTAACTTTTTAATTCTAAATCTTAAAAATAAATATCAATACACAAAAATGTAATTGTATGAAAATGAAAAACGGTATTACTTTAAATAATTATTTTATTTGTAATCGATTGCGTTTTATATTTCATTTTTAGGCATAGGTAATTCACTTGCGCAGGTAGTAAGCGGCGTAGGGTGAGGCATAGGGGTAGGCAGAGTACGCGGCGAGGGGTGCGGAGTACGCGGAGTAGGCGAGGGGCGCGGTGTAGGCAGCCGACACCACGGGAGCGGTGTACGCCGCAGCCACCGGCGCTGTGTATGCAGCGCTGTACAGCACACCAGGCTTGGGGTCAGCGATAGCTGCCACCAACATGCAGGCGAGGACGATCTGGAAAGAAAAACATTTTGATAAGTAAATCGTAAATAGTTAATTTTCAGGTTATTTCCAAGCACAACATGTGCTTATAAGGTTTTATCAAAAATGTTAAATACCAGTACTTTAATGATCAAATTGTTTAAAGCCACTTAGAATAGAATATAGCTTACCATGTATTTGAACATTTTGATTGTTTTCACTGAGCTACTACTGTACTGAATGATATAAAAAAATGTGGTCCACAGGTTTTATAGTACCAGAAATAACAGAAGGTCGAATGCCCAATGCGCAAGTCCAGCCAATGTTTTACCGCGCAAGGAATAGTAATCAGCGTAACTTAAGAAACAGTTCCATTCTGTGATTGAATGAAATGCATCTATGCTACTTTATAAACAACTTAAGAAATATTTTAATTTTCATAAGCTTTTCATGGCCATTATTAAAGCCATCTCCATGCCCTTTCATTTTCAAAATATGATGAAAACAATCATCATCTGGGGTATAATTAATTTCAAGAATAATTTCACGAATCCAGTTTATCATAAGTGATATAATTATTATACAAATCTATAATTATGACCTTTATATTCTACTGGATTTACGAAACTCATTGCTTTCTTATAACGAGATTGAGAGTTAAAGGTTCATTGAAGATTGTGATTGAAGGAAAATCATTGTTATTCTACATGCAACGTGGTAGCGAGTTTCATTAACCTCACGTTGCGTACAAGCCTACGGCCTTCTTAAATCACTATAAAATTCGTAGGTATCTCACCATTTGCATCATTCAGTGCAGCACTAGCTCAGTGAAACAATCAAAATGTTCAAGTCAATCGTAAGTATCTCAAGTGCAATATGTTGACAATGCACTACCTTAATTCAAACAGGATATGAGTGATCTAATGAAATGTTACATCTTCCAGATCGTCTTCGCTTGCATGTTGGTGGCAGCTATCGCTGACCCCAAGCCTGGTGTGCTGTACAGCGCTGCATACACAGCGCCGGTGACTGCGGCGTACACCGCTCCCGTGGTGTCGGCCGCCTACACCGCGCCCCTCGCCTACTCCGCGTATTCCGCACCCCTCGCTGCGTACTCCGCCTACCCCTACGCCTCACCATATGCCGCCTACTACCTGCGCAAATAAGCTGTGAAAAATAATTACTGTTAACTACAAAAATAATAAATGATTGTTGTTTAAAAAATAGTATTTTATTATTAATCGGCCTAGTTTCTAACTATGAAGAACATGATTAGCTTCATGCTCAGATAATAAAAGTATCTAATAATAACTATCAAAGAAGCAAAAATTTGGAACATAAAAGTTAAACAATATTACGTTAATATTACTTTTCTACAGTAGATACAAGTATTATAGTACCTACGCTATACGACGTATTTCAAAAAGCTTAACCATGAAAACGCACTGTCCATAAATAAGTTTTTGGGAATCTGTGAGTCCATGCTTACTATGAGGAACTCATTATAACGATTGTATCTCATAGAAACGAATATCATGTTATAAAATCATACCTGCATGTTAATTTATTTGGATAACTATGTTGACGCCGTAGCTGAGTCACCAGCTGCTGCGCTATGTGTCCATGGGGACAATTTGCGCACAGAACAGTTTTTCGTGTGATCCACAAATCCAGAACAACAATTTGTTCACAACACCACAATGTCTTTCATTACATCATCCATCCAACATTTTTGTCTAACACAAATACACCAAGCTACACTGCTGTCATTAGCTTTAGTTTAGTCGTCAATAAAATAAAAAAATTAAAATGCTAGTCAATTTTTATGTTGATAAATGCATTCACATGACTAAACAGGAGGAAATATGGCGTGAGGTAACGTTTTTGTTATTAAGAAATCATCTTATGTAGATGCTGTCTGGTCTGTCGTTATATACGGTTGTGAAGCATGGATCTCAAAAGATGACACTATTAGGCGCATAAAAGCGTTTGAATTGTGGTGTTATCTTCGCATATTGCGCATAAGTTGGATGCAAAAGAAACGATACCGTGCACCAGCGCGTCCACATGCCACGCAAAATGATCCAAACCACCAAATAGCTTACCACGAGGCCAGACAGCGGTCAAACGTAGTCCTATAAAAAAAATATAAACATAAAATAGGTGCAGAATAGAATATCTTGGTCACGTACTGCCATGGCAATAAAATGATGAATAAGGCGGAAGGGAAGACAAGTACTGGGTAAAGGAAAAAGTCGTGGGTGCGCAATATCCGAGAGTGGACCGGTATCAGATCTGTGGGACAACTTTTCCGCATGGCCACTGACAAGGACCAATTCAAAAAGCTGATGGGCAACCTCATAAGAAAAAGAAGATCTTACGAATATCATCTAAAAACAAATGAGGTATGTTCCTACATTTTCTGCAACAGTTAACAAGGGTAACTGAGCATGAATCCTATGTAATAAATACGAGTAATTATTGTAACTGCGGATTGATTGGTGCAGCGGCTGAGTAACTGACTAATGCGCAACACGTACTTCAATTCTTAATAAGTTCAGATAATTATTTTTCATTAGTAGCCCGAAATCTGCATGTTCGGTGGTGTTTCATTCCGTGCCTTGGATAGCACGTAGAGTGACTTGACCTTCCATTGATCCTATTGGATAATCTTTTATTTGGGATCCTCCTTCAGGATAAGAATGAAGGGAATAAAGTGGTTTGTGTACCTACAAGTTTGTACACTATAATTAATATCTCTTATGGCTAGTCTCCGATGTGTTTGCTAAACTGTGAAGGTACACAATATATCTCGATTCTTGAAGGCAGGAGATGACTTGCTGCTGATTATGATGATGATCACATAAAGCAGTCATAATTTTTATTATTCTGATTTATATGGAAATGAGATCCCTTCGATTCACCATACATTAAATTTAATTTTATCGCTTTAAATAAATTGCAATTTTCTTGATTTTAATGTCTATGTCAGGAACAGAACCCATACATGTAAAGTCATAGAGCTTTTTGCGTAAGACTGTTGCCTTAATTAAACTATAATAGTGCCTAATATGTACCTACTTCGCACCTACATACCCTATAATAATGAGGTTTTTGAGTAATATCTAGAAAGCAAAATCTATCAGTAAGAAAGCAAAACTGCTACTAATATTCATTTAATTCAATTAATGAAAATAATCAACAGTAGTTTGGAAACGTGTTAATCTAGCAATAGGCTCGGCAACTATTTTTATTTTGGTACTTAAATTATTGTACCATAATCAGAACAGATAACTTCGAGAATGTGAAAACTTTAAAACAGAGAGGTGGTGAACAATTATTTGACAATGAAAAGAATAAAACTGGGGTAGGTTAAGATTCATCATCTAATTTATTTAATTGCTTTTCGTTGATTGGTACATTTCACTTGCGCAGGTAGTAAGCGGCGTAGGGTGAGGCGTAGGGGTAGGCAGAGTACGCGGCGAGGGGTGCGGAGTACGCGGAGTAGGCGAGGGGCGCGGTGTAGGCGGCCGACACCACGGGAGCGGTGTACGCCGCAGCCACCGGCGCTGTGTATGCTGCGCTGTACAGCACACCAGGCTTGGGGTCAGCGATAGCTGCCACCAACATGCAGGCGAAGATGATCTGGAAGATGATATATTTCATTAGATCACTGATATCTTGTTTGAATTTAGGTGGTGTATTGTAAATAAATTGCACTTGAGATACTTACAATTGACTTGAACATTTTGATTATTTTCACTGAGCTAGTGCTGCACTGAATGATACAAACAATGCGGTAGCAACGAGTTATATAGTGATTTAAGAAGGCCGAAAGTCTACTACGCCCACACCGCATGCATTGAATGATAATGTTATTACAATAGGAGGAAAGCTATCTTGCAATTTTGGATTTCGGAAGATGAATCGCGTAATTTATCGTTTGCCTTTGTCTTACTATAACATGAATATTTTTATTTAGTAGTACTTTGTCAAAGACTATGTTTATGAATTTTACTAGGATACCATCATAAAGCTTTTAAATTTTCAGCTATATCGGATGAATCAGACCATTTCCCACTATACCTACTTCTTTTTTGCTTTCCATATGTTATATTAAAAATCGATATACATACTAACTAACCCATGACGCGTAACAAAACATGTATGAATTATGCTATATGCGACATCAAACATTTTATTTTGCGGTAAGATTGGTAGAGTGTACAAACTATGCCTTTAAATATTAAAATCCACTGGTATACTCATATTATAGAATTGTAAACACCAAGGATGCTGGTATTGAGCGGATATAAAAAATCCAAACATATAAATTTTTAAAATCAACAACAACAATAACAAAATCTAACACTTGTTAGAACATCATGAGTACGTACGTAAAGTACGTTATTAGAGTAGTTGACAGGGGACGAAAATCAAAAATCTGTTTTGTCCGTAATATTAGTAAACAATACTTAGTTAAAATGCATTTAATGTGTGTGGGACAGTGGGACTATGTTACGGTACCCTATAAAATGTAGTAAATCGTCACGTCATACGATATTTCAAATCAATATATCGTCGAAACTATTTAATATTGAAAGAAAAAAATTGCGTGTCTAAATGTTTAAACACATCTACCAGACGGATATTAAAATAAAATTAGGAAAGTACCCTATTAGTTTGGCAGTTAGACTTGTGCACTCGAGCAACGAATTAATTTTATTTCTCACACTATCTTGCCTACTTTAATAGCTCACAAGAACTTTAACTGTACTTTTCACAAAGAATATTAAGTACTAAGATCAAGTAAAATGTACCTAACCTCCTGAGATGGTAAAGTTCAGAAGAGCTGCCTTGTTTTAATTAAAATTCATATTGAAACGGAAAGTGGACGGTCACTTGTTCTTCATTAACACATCGCTGTTGAGGCCAACCCATCGGTATTCGACGCACGACGTCGCCTCGGGAACGGGGCTTTGCGCACATTGCGTGCATTATCCTTCTTAATTTACTATAAAGTTTCTGGCCACTAGTTCTTCGATATCATTCGCTCAACAGCAGCTTATTCACAACATCAAACAAAATGTTCAAACTTGTGAGTACTTACCTTTTTTATTTGTAGTACTATATTCAACCATTTTAAAGTTCAATTGTTTTTAAAAGACGGTTGTTGGAAGCGGCGCAAAAACGTGGCACATTATTCGTAGTATGAAATTAAATGTTCTAGATAATTATTTCAATTATTTTATTTTTCAGTTCTTCCTCGCTTGCATGATGGCCGTCGCCATCGCTGACCCCAAGCCTGGTGTGCTGTACAGCGCTGCATACACAGCGCCGGTCGCTGCGGCGTACACCGCTCCCGTGGTGTCGGCCGCCTACACCGCGCCCCTCGCCTACTCCGCGTACTCCGCACCCCTCGCCGCGTACTCCGCCTACCCCTACGCCTCACCCTATGCAGCTTACTACCTGCGCAAGTGAAAAGTTCCAATCCACGAAACAAGCAATGAAATAAATTAGATTTTGAATCTTACACTACCTCAGTTTTATTCTCATAATGATCCATCATCCTCCATCATAAAGTAGAATACTTTAGAGCTTTCATGTTCAAAGCTATATCTGTTCTAATTACAGTCGGATATTGTCACGCATAGTACCGGCTTTTCCAAGCTATTTTTGAAAACATATTTATCGACTGAACTATTCTATTCAGTCGAATGGTTTCCAAGGAATTCTATTCATATTTCATGATTTGGTGGCTATTGTCTTATAAACATCTCGACGCGGAAATGAATGAGTAAACAGACCTATTATTACTCATGACACCGTAAGTAAAAAAAATGTAACAGAATCAATGTTAGTGTGTCCGTGACAGTTCCCAATTGGAGTTTAAGCCCCCTCTACAGTTTACGGCTTGCCACGATCTCTATATTTGATAGAAAAACTGTTGTAATATACATTTATTGGATCATTAGATTTATTTCAAAGTATGCAGAGTGCACACAGTATACTTAGGTAGGTACTTACGTGATATATAAGAAGGACCATGCTACGGTTGACCTTTCCAACACTTTCCCTGTTCATGTGCTCTCATGTGGCTAGTGTACTCAACCTTATTGGAAAATGTGTGTCCTTGTTTGCATGCCAATGACAGCACCTCATTATTAATTTAGGGAACAAAATATAGGATTACGCCTCTTCTTTCCAGCAAGAGTAATTTTCACATTTTGAAATTTGTGTTACGAGTACCATGTAACATATTATATATTTAATATCAAGCCTATAGTCATATATACATAATACAAAGTTGTAGCTACGAAGTTTCCATTTGCCCGAGGAATCCAAGACCTTTTGCTCCAATCGCACCTACCAATGAGATAATCAAGTTCAAGTTAAATACAAGTATATGATATACAAGTATTTGAAATACAAGTATATGATTAGTTTTAATTTTAGGTCCTAAATAGGTAAATTTTTTTGTATCTTATATTACTTAGTTTTTCAAGCCATGATAGTTACAAGTAGTTGGGTTATTTCCATCCCTTTGTTGTTTCACAATTTAACGGAAGAAAGGCAATAAAAGATAAACGTTTTGGAGTAAAATAAAAACATCATATTAAAACATAATCAATAATTTATTTTGTTCTTAATTCTTTGTATAATTCTAAATAAGTTTATTTATAATAGAGTGCGGTATACGGCGATGATAGAGCATAACTATATGCAGAGTAGGAAACAGGTGCCGTGTATGCGGAGTATGTAAATGGAGAGTATGCTGAGTAAGCTACTGGGGCGGCATAGGCTGTGTACGGAGAGCTGAAGAGTAGAGCAGGGTTGGGAGCTGCTACTACCACCGCCAGCAAACAGGCGAAGACCAACTGTAAAAGAAAAATATGACTTAACATAGATACCTCCAATCTTGTATTCTTGTGTTAGATAGTAATCCTGGGTGGGTCTGATAATTCATTTCGTGTTTCTTACGCGAAGACACTTCTTAAAATTTTTTATCTTTAGGAGAATTTATAACTTTTTTTTATGGCATAAGCCGGTAAACGAGCAGACGGATCACCAGATGGTAAGCAATCGGCGTCGCCCATGGACACCTGGAACACCAGAGGTGTTACAAGTGCGTTACCGGCCTTTTGGGGATTAGGATTTTGAGGATCATTGGGGATTCAGGGATTGGGGAGATTGGGGAAGGGGATGGTAATTGGGCCTCCGGTAACCTCACTCACACGACGAAACACAACGCAAGCGTTGCTTAAAACTTAAAAAACCAAAAACTATTAACAAAAAAAGTCAAAACTAAAAAGAAGAAAATAACTTTTATTAGTTCTGATAGGTTACCCACCCACTGATAGGTTAGAAGTCGGCGCTATAAGTTCTATACAAAATTATTCATTAAAACCTTAATAAACATCTAATTTACAATTTTGTGGCCATTAAGTTATGTCATTACGATACGAGAAGCACATGCTTTGTGGTACATGGTCTCACACTTACTTGCTTTGTAGTAATTATTGATCGGGTATGAAGAATCGAAAGTATCACCTCTCGTTTGACACCGTTTAGTATAAATGTCTGCAGTGTTGACTCTAATGATTACTGTGACAACCACCCTAAGCGACTACCGGTCTCATACTCAATGGCAATTTCAATTTATTTTGTACAATTCTATTAAAAGCAATTAGGTAATAAACAGTATTCTGTTATTACTTAACTCCGAAGTTATATATTGTTCAGTAAATCGAACAAAGTGTATATAATGTGTAGAGGTACATACATATTTTATTTATATTTAAAATAATATGCACGTCCACCTAATTTAGTATGACTAAACAATTACATCCTCGAATGAACAAATTTTCTGTGAAATTGTATTCATTCATACACGAATAATGACGAACAGACTGACGCACATCCATATAGGAGTATAAAGAAGCATAGATAAATAGTCGACGAGTAGCTGTATCCTGAATTTCAGGCAAAATATGTTATAGTTGTAGCAATTAATTTCTATAATTGCTATGTTTTCATTATTATTGGTCCTGATACCGCAATTAAAATTGAATTATTTTAATAAAACCTAATTGTACACTGTAAAATAAAAAGGCTTTTAAACTATAATAAACAATAGAGAATTTTATTAGTATAGCTAATCAATTTTATTAGTATCAAGTTCAATTAGAATCGCTAGAACTTTTTCAACACCCTTAAAAATGTATTTAGTTAGTAGAGTAATTCAAGACTGTTAGACTTACAAGTGTTATAGTTGATACTAACTGTGCTCACGATTCCGTCCGCGGAGATTACTTACTTTTAATAGTTCCTCACAGCTCCTTCCTCGTGGTGGTAAGTGAGAGCGTGATAATATGTAGCCTAAATGTTACTGTTAGTAATATTCATGGAAAATTTGAAGTGAATCTAGGTATTTTTGAGGATATTATATACAGACAAACAGACGAAAATTTTAAAACTATATTATAGGCTCCGATATCGATTGCAGATCACGACCTAATATTCTATTTAAGAAATATTCAATGTACAGTTCTGACGTTCCTACGGTTTTATTATAGGTATGTATAAATAAATAACATCACTCTTGATAAGTTATTGAAATTTGTGTGAAGTTTGTGTTGTGCTAAGTAAATACAATGTAAGTATATAGCGAGTATCATTTACAAAAAAATACAAACATCATTAAATAAAAATATAATGTGAAAATTAAACAAATGAGGATTAGGCTCTGTAGAACTTAAAATTAATTGCAGATTATAGTATTTGATTAACAAAAAACTACAGCTATCACAAGGTAACATTAACACGCTTTTATCATTACCCAAGGAGACACAGTTCTATTTTTTTAGTTAATCGTGAAAGATAAACCTTATTAAAAAAAAAACGTCACAAAGCAAATAGATGTACTATTTTCGTTGTTTTGGTGACGATCAATAAAAAAAAATTAAGAAAAAATCACTCACCAATTTGAACATTCTGAAGGCGTTTGGCACTGAGCAAGTACTGAGCTAAATGACGTTTGTTTACTGTCTGTACTCATCTTTATAGTGACAAACGAAGGACGACACATGTATTGTTAGGATACCAGCCAGAAAACGTCACGTCTACTTGGGTTTTTCTAATCCTGTATGGCTAGAATGGTTATCTAATTAGAATAACGTTTCAAACTAATGTATTCAGAACATCCTCTTTTGACGTAAATTCAGACGTTTAGTTTATAAGTTACAAATATTGAATTATTTTGGTACATTTTTACATAACATAACATCACGTTTTTTTTCCTCTGCCTATCCTTTTGGGGCACTTAATGCCACTATGTACTATGTAATACCCTCTTTTCCCTATTTTATGTTATGAGTCCCATGTAATAGTGGGTGAGTCTATTGCCATATACCGGACACGATTCTAGACTCTGTGCTACCACTGAGATTTTTTTTAAAGTAAAACCCAGTAACGCCTTTCGCGACTCATAAATCGAACCCGAGTCCCCTTGCCCGGCAGTCGCAGTTGCAACCACTTGGGCCACGAGGTAGTCAATTCTTACATTAAAGTCTTTTGTCTTCAAGCAACATTTACCTGTCTCGATCATCAAACAATATTATGTATCCTGCTTCAACTCTTAATACTAAGTGTTTACGGGCAGCTACTGAATATTTTTGCAGCAATAAAGAAGTATTATTATCGATAAATTCAACTCTTATGCACATTACATTTTGAAAAGCAACTGGTTCAACTTGGATACCTATAAACATGATTATTAACAATTTTCAAATGTAATTCATCGATGGTTGATATCCAGCTATGTTTAGTCAGTTAAGATGGATAGATAGATAACCTTTTTTGTGTGAACCTATTGCAATGACACTTTATACAATTATTATGCATACGTACTCTAATAACTAATACGACTTATTAGACACGTAAAGATTAACTCGAAGCATAGTGAAGCATACAATATGTAAGCTAATCTGTTACATGCTAACAAACCTAATTAATGTAGAATGCTTTATTATTTGTTTATGAGAAAAGACAAGATTTAGAACTATTAAGAAACATTAAGCCTTATTTGTAGGAACAAATCTATCCTACTTATGACCACTTATGACCAATAACAATTAAAATGTACAGAAAAATCAGAAGCAAGATACGAGTAAACCACAGATATAGATGCTAAACATTTCTGAAGTTACGAGCACCTCTAAATGGTTAGGTAAGCATAGGCTTCTAAGCATTTAGGGTAGTAAAAAGAAATTCGTTTGAAGCCGACGTTTCTCCCTCGTTTTTCCAACACGTGCTCCATCTTACCCTGGTTGATTGTTACGTAGGAGGTGGGCGCAAGAGATCTTGTCACATCATCGCCTTTCTAAAGGTCAATCAATGTTACGAACTTTTTAGTTATCTTTAAATGTTTTCAAATATCTATACTTATTGTAATAACTAGCTTCTGCCAGCGGCTTCGCCCGCGTTCCCGGGGGTAAAAGTAACCTATGTATTACTCCAGACCATTATCTACCTCAGTTCCTAATTTCATTCCGATCCCTTAAGCAGTTTTGATGCGACTGAGTAAGAAACATACACACAAACTCACCAATTTTCAGCTTTCTTTTTGCTTGAACCGCTATGGTTCAAGCTAATTTCGATCATTGGCCCTACAGTTATAGCATAAAGTCCACTGCGGGTAACCCAACATTCGACAAACTTATATTTGCATTTGGTAAAGTAATCGTGTATGGGCATCGAGCTCCACAATTAAGTTTGTTTTCTAGTATATATACTTTTTCAGGATAAAAGCTACCCAGTGTTGTGTCCAGGATATTAAAGTATAATTATATGTTCCTAGTTTTATTGAAATTGGACGGGTAACTTAGCATGATGCGTGAACAGACAGACAGACTAAATCTTTTTTATTCATATCTTCGACCACGACCTACTTCATGGTGAAGGACTAGTGTTACTTAGCACTTCTAACATCAGAAGTAGCCGACTATGTAGTATATTATTTGATTGCTCCCCTCTTTTTTCTATAGAGACAAAAATCTTTACAGTAAGGTCAGCAGTCTTTTGGGCAGTATTTCTACATTTATTCTTTTAGACCACGACACGTCAATTCTGAACTCGTGCCAGTATAAGTATGTTGTTTAACTCGTTTACTTCAATGGTACTATTGTTTCACTAAAATGTTAATATAATTATCATAATTATGTACAAAGAAACATTGTTGTTTTATTACAACAAAGTAAATACTATAAGTTCTTATCGGTCGCACTGATATTCATTTATTATTGATTTGTTTGGGGTACCGTGTCTAATCGGAATATTGTTATAAAGTGCAACATAAAGACGATTAGTTAGTGTGGGTCGGAGAAGGGGCCTGACACGGTCACAATAATGGAGCAAATAAAAATCAAATTATATATCACAGTAAGTACTTCTAAGTTTACAACTGTCAAATAAATCATACTTACTGACACGAATAATGTGTCTGCTCTGACCAAAATAGTGATTATTCATTGTTGCCTAAGTGTAAATCCTTTAAACAAGCAACAGCCCCAACGCTGCGTTCCAAAATGTATAATTTAACAAATAACATAGTGTAATATTTTAATTTTCAGTTGCTTCTAGCCACTACCATAACATGTGGTGAAGGTAGTGTACTTGATGATCTTAAAGAAGCTTACTATAGAACTTCTAGTCCTTCTTTACAGCAATTTCTAGAAGATGAAACACCATACCTTTCAAAAATACTAGGTAGACATAATATTCCTAATTTGGGGCAAAAACATGAGACATATCATGATAATATAATCCCACCAACAGACGAATATTTAAGTAACGGCCCAAGCAATTCTATTTATGACATATCTGACGAAAGAATACAGCATAATGATAATCTACTTACAGAACAGCATTATGATCCTCGATCTATAAAACAACATTATAATCTTCCTCCTCCAGAACAGAATTATAACCCACAACCTGCAGAAAAACGTTATAATCCTCCTCCAGCAGAACAGACTTATAATTCTCCTGCTCCAGAACAGCTTCTTAATCCTCATCCTCCAGAACAACGTTATAATCCTCCCTCTCCAGAACAGCTTCATAATCCTCTTCTTGCAGAACAACGTTATAATCTTCCTCCTACAGAACAGTTTTATAACCCTCCTTCTACAGAACAGATTAATAGTCCTCCTTCTACAGAACAGCGTTATAATTTTCATCCTGCAGAACAGATGTATAATCCTCATCCTGCAGAACAGGGTTATAATCCTCCACCTATAGAACAGCTTTATAGTCCTCATCTTGCAGAACAGCGTTATGATCCTCCTCTTACAAAACAGGTTTATAATCCTCTTCCTAAAGAACAGCGTTATGTTTCTTCTCCTACAGACCAGCATTATAATCCTCCTCCTCCAGAACAGCTTTATAATCCTCATCCTGAAGAACAACGTTATAATCCTCATCCTGCAGAACAGGGTTATAATCTTCTACATGCAGAACAGCTTTATAGTCCTCTTCCTGCAGAACAGCGTTATAATCCTTCTCCTTCAGAACAAAATTACAATTCTTATCCCGCAAAACAATATTATAATTTTCCTCCTACAGAACAAGTTTATAATCCTCGTCCTCCAGAACAAAATTATAATCTTCATCTTGCAGAACAGGGTTATAATCTTCTACATGCAAAACAGCTTTATAGTCCTCTTCCTGCAAAACAGCGTTATAATCCTTCTCCTCCAGAACAAAATTACAATCCTTATCCCGCAAAACAATTTTATAATTCTCCTCCTACAGAACCAATTTATAATCCTCGTCCTCCAGAACAAAATTATAATCTTTATCCTGCAGAACAACATTATAATCTTCCTCCTACAGAACAGCTTTATAATCCTCTTCCTGCAGAACAGCGCTATAATCCTCTTCCAACAAAACATCGTTATAATCCTCAACCTGAAGATCTGCATTTTGATCTTCTACATATAAAACCTCCATATAATCTTCCTCTTACACAAAAGCGTAGTAATCTTCCTCCTATAGAATCTACAGAAAAAGATGATGATTCTCTACCTGTAAAACAGGATTATGATCCTCCTCTCACAGAACAACACTATGATCTTATTCCTATAGAATCTACAGAACAGCATAATAATCCTACTCCTACAGAATCTATAGAACAGCATAATAATCCTAATCCTACAGAATCTACAGAACAGCATAATGATCCTACTCCTACAGAACAGCATTATAATTCTACCCCTACAGAACCTACCGAACAGAATAATGATTTTTCTCCTCCTCCTACAGAACAACATTATAATTCTCCACCTTTGAAATCGAATTTACTTCCTCCTCATAGAGAACCGCCTTATCTTGTTCCCTATCCTACAGATCATGATGATTATGATTCTATACCTAAACAGCCTTATTATTCTTCTCCAATAGAAGAGTTCCATAATCCTCCTAGAGAAAAGCACTATAACCCTTTTCCTAGAAAACCGAATAATGATTTTTCTCCTCCTCCTACAGAACAACATTATAATTCTCCACCTTTGAAATCGAATTTACTTCCTCCTCATAGAGAACCGCCTTATCTTGTTCCCTATCCTACAGATCATGATGATTATGATTCTATACCTAAACAGCCTTATTATTCTTCTCCAATAGAATAGTTCCATAATCCTCCTAGAGAACAGCACAATTATCTTTATCCTGGAATACAGCATCATGATTCTTCTCCTCCACAACAGAATAATAAACCCCTATCTATAAATAAGCGTTATGATCCTCCTTCCACAGTGAGGAATTATGATCCTCTACCTGTAGAACATTTTGATCCCCTACCTACAGAACAGCATCCCGATCACCAAGAAATCTATAAACTAATGAATAATCCTGAAAACGTACAAACAGGTATTATCGGTGTATCGGATTCTGCCCAAATACCCAAACTTGTGCCAGTTATCGGTGAAAATGTAAAGAAAATTAAAACATTGCCGAGTGAGTTGCGGCCGTTACACATTAAAGGTGAACCAGATTTATTCAACAGACATCGGACTGATACAAACTATTGGCAACCAAAAATATACCATGCGATTGTAAACCATGATGTCATACCAAACAGAATCAATAACATAGACTGTTTGTAGAGACTAGATCAGCATTTGTTCCAGTTTGAAGTGGTTCAAAATACAGAGTATGAAAGACTCCAAGAAGTAGGCCTCGGTATTATAGTAAATATTTAATGTAAAAACAAAATAAATGATTCACTAAATTAAAGAGTGTATTTCATTATTCAGTACAACAATCTTAATCTTAACCCAGTATTACATACAACTCATAACTAATGACATTACATAACATCACGCCTTTTATCCCCGAATGGGATGGCAGAGGTGCTCATTACGGCACTTAATGCCACTGTACTATGTCTGTAACACCCACTTTTCACTATTTATGTTATGAGTACCATGTAATAGGGGAAGAATCCATTGACATATACCGGGCACAATTCCAAACTCCGTGCTACTACTAAGAATTTTTTTTAAAATCCTGTAATACTTTGTCCGACCCATGAATTGAACAGTTGCACATGCGACCACTCAGCCAACGAGGCAGTCATAACTAATGAATAGTCAAAATAAGCACATCTGGCTACCCCAGTGGAGATGAACGTCACCTCATACACAATATTTTTTTTTCACACAAAATTACAGAGAATGGCGGACTATATGTCTACAGGCATTCTATAACAATCAGCCATGGGTAGTGCAGAGAAATGAAGCTGTTGATGCGCAAGTCAGAACAATTTCAAAAACAAAAGAGATATTTACTTAATTGTTTAACAATATGTATACCACACACATAAATATCTATAGAACAAATATATTAATACAATCCTTATCCTTACTAAAGGATTATAAATCAGAAAGTGAGTTTGTTTGTTTGTTTGTTTGTTCCGCTTTCACAACGGAACTACTAAACCGATTGCTTTGAATTTTTGCAGACGTAAAGTTAGAAGTCTGGATTAAATAATAGGGTACTTTTTATCCCGGAAAAAATTGATATTCCCGAGGGAATACAAAAGTATTGGTATAGATGGCGCTGTGTATATTGGTAAATGGCACATTGGCTTTTTATTCTTTCGTGACGCGAGCGAAGCCGCGGGTAAAAGCTAGTATTTTATAAATATACATATGTAGATGTATTTGTATGTAACATACATGTGTAGATGTATATAGTATTAAAGTTTTGAGAAATCTTGACAAGTGTTTTTGGGTTCAATTTTCGTATCAAGCAGTAGTTTTTTTTTATATTACTATGAGATTTTTTTTCAATTTTAAGAAATATCTCACTAATATTTTTTTGAGATTTATTGCATACCATAAAAATACAATAATATAAACATACAAAAATAATAAATAGTGCTCACGGTTTTTTACAGACAACCTTCGGATGAAGCTGTAATAACTAGGAAGTCTAATATCAGCTAGCACGGGCCTGCGGACGGCGAGCATGACCAGACCCGAGTGTACGGCGCGTCGCGTTCCTCGTGCGCCTTAAAGAGCCATCAGACCGCCACAGAATAGGACTGATGCCGATACGGAGCCGCGAAGAACTTAACGGGTCAACGGGGCTCCGACACAAAATGCAGGAGTAGTGGTGTCCCGGATGTTTAAGATGCCCACTTTTCTTGCAGGAGAGTGTGGGTTCGAAACCTACCAACAACAAGTATCAATGAGACTTTTTCTGAGCCAAAACATGTACTTTCTAAGATTATTTAGACACCACTGACAAATGGTCAAGGAAAACATGATGAGGAAACCTGGGTTTATAATTTCTAATCTAATTGTTTTCTGGCGCATTGAACAAGCGTGGTGATTAACGCTCAAACCATTTCCGTGTGAGAAGAGGCCTTTGGTCAGGTGGCCACTTATAGGCTGTTGATGATGATAATGATGATGATATATTGGTTAAGAGATCGGTAAGTCTAACATAGTACTAATTAATTCTTATCACATGTAAATTAAATAATGATTTGTTTGGCACACCGAAACTAATTGCAATTTATTACTAATAGCGTTAAAATCAGTTGTTACATTACTTCAATAAATTACTGGCTTTTGTACAATTTGTCCATATTATCGTTGGCTTGCTACAGTATAATAACACTATAATGAAAAATTTTTACCTGGTACGTAAACTGAAGATTTTTGTAGTCAATTCAAAATGTTAGGAATAAAACTATATTTCTGTAATGAATTTACGTACGAATAATAAGACAAATACAATTTGAATTCTCATAATATTTTTATTTTTCAGATATTTCTAGTAGCCTTAATTATTATTAATCAAAGCGATGAAGCAAAAGCAAGACAATTGCGATATCTGATGCTAACTAGAAACGGAGAAGAAACAGAAAAAGAACACGAGTCAACAGAAGCAGTTAAAATGTATGAATCTACTACACAAATAGATGTTGATATTCAAGATAATCAGGCAATTCAGAATTTACCCAAAACTAAAAATGGACACAAAACTCAAATTAATACAGAAACTCAACAAAGTAAACAAATACCGCTGAATGAGTTTGAGAATTTGAAAGTAAATGAAGAAGTAGTAACACTGTCAAATGTTTCAAATAAGCAGTATGAGCAGCCTGCATCAGTTATACAAGCAGTTCCTATACAGGAACCTGATTATCATAAGAAGATATTTGGTCAGGATTTGAATCACCAAAAAAGCTATATTCAACCAACTAGTACACACAGACCACAAGCTAATAATCCTCTCATGTTCACAAGACTAAACGATGTCAGTTTTCCACATGGTCGTTATGATTACAATTACAATCAAGGGTATCCAAACATTAAGCCCATTGCAATACCTCGAGGAATCTATCTTCAGAAAGGATTTGGCCAGCAACACATGCCTCCACGTGGACTCATACAGCCTCTACTTACCGAACCCATTTACAGTGATCATCATATTATTGAAAGAACTTGGTATTATGATTAAAAAAGATAATTGTAACTTGTAAAAAATATTATAAGTTAACAAATAATAATGCCATGGCTGGGGTAAAGATCGATTATTATACAGTAAGCATTACTACGATGGGTTTTAAAAAACAGGTTCCTGGACGTGTTCGCTTGTATTTTAGAAGGCTACCGTGGTCTTGATTCCGACAATAAAAACAGCCATCCTAGCGTTCTATAAGTGTCATTTTTATAGCTCTAGGATAGTAATGCGATGATCATTTATTCAGCATTTAAGAAAGTAACCAATATATAATGACTAGAGACCGGATAGTATGCATTTGCATATTTGCATATGCATTTGCATATTTAAGCGATTTTCAAGCCTAATAGCATATTTTTACTAATATCTAGTGATGATGCATATTATTGCTATAATTTACAGTAGGTAGGTATTTTTCGAGCGTAGCGCACTCGGCAGCCCCGCGTTAATGTTTACAAAAATATTAAATAATGTCTACTGTATCGATTAACATCTATCAATGGATAGTTTTCTATAAATGTATGCTGATTTTTTAATGAAAAATATAAAACTTAATAGTTTTTTTTATTTTATCAAATAACAATAAATTAAAAAGATACATACATAATAAAGTAAAACATAAATAAGACAAGTATTTACTAACAAAATACTTAAATCTAAAGGAATAATATTTACAAAACAAAAAAAACTCATTTAATGTTGCATATTCTGTCAGTTTTCGTGCATATTTTAGGTATTTTTCATGCATATTTGCATGCATATTTCAAGCTTTTTATGTTGCATATTATCCGGTCTCTAATAATGACTATATAGTATAAAACAAACTCGCTTTCCGATTAGTTTCTATATTTGCTAAGATCTTTAAAACCACGCAACGGATTTTGATGTATTTATTTTAATAGAAACGGTGATCAAAGAGAAAGTTTTATATGTAATTAACGTAAAGCGTGTAAAGTCGCAGACAACTAGTGTATAATAATTGTGATGCGTGAGTGGTAAAAAATATATGAAAATATTAAGGGACATTTCGTTCAATTTCTGGTTTCATTCTACAACACAGTGGCATTTCATGAAATAATGGATTTTTGTCCATATTAAACTTTTCTTAGTACCAACGGACATGACAAGTAAGATTTGTCCAATTTAGTTGTACTGTTAGGTGACGTTTACGGATGGATAAAAAAGTCATTAAATGTCATTTAGCTCAGGATTTCCTTAAACTTAAGGATAGGTTTAAAATGGGCGTTGTTAGTTCAAAATTAAAAAAAAACATATTTAATCGTTTTCTAGTAGCTAAGGTTCTAAACGGTACCGACTTCAATCCTGGCTTATCGGTGTAATAATTAATAAGTGTTGAAACAGATCTAATTAATTTGTCACACCACTGGCTGCACTCATCAAAACTGAAATTAACAAGTTCCTTTGATTACTGCGGTATATAAGAAGCATTTTGGCTTCACTCAAGTGAGTCTATTGTTGTGACGATGTTATTTAAAGCAGTAAGTATATTTTTGTAATTTTCTGGTATTAAACGTCCAATATATCAGAGTTGTCAGAACATATGAAGGTGCAGTTTGTTGGGGTTACGTTAAAAATATACTATATAGGTACATTTTTTCTAAGTATGCATGTAAATGTGCAATCCTACATAAAGTTTAATGATTGTTTATTCACTCATAAAGAACATGGTTCACTTACAATGAGCTTAAATGACTATTTATAGCTATGTATACAGAGTCATGACCAAACGGTGTTAATAAATATTTTCAGATACATATTTTCTTAACCTATTTTTGAACATGGCAATCGACTGACATTCCTTAATATTATTTGGCAAATTATTATACAATTGTGCTCCCTCATATGTTATACATTTTTCAAACATTATCTTTTAATGTTTATCGATATTACAGTACTAGCTTCTACAGTGGCTTCGCCCACGTTTCCGTGAGCTCGAGTGTTGTTCCTGACCACAGTCTACCCCTGTTCCACATTTCATCCCGACCATCTGTAACAAATTGTAAAGCACTCTATACACACTTTAGAAGCTTTAAAGTGATTTCATTTGATTTGATTTAAATACACAGACACACGCGGGTCTGCGGACGGCGAGCCGCCCGACCAGAACCAAACCCGTGCGTACGGCACGTCGCGCTCCGCGCGCGCTTCAGAAAGCCATCAGTATCCTGATGGCTCTGAGGACCCCATCTGTGGACCACCACAGATGGGGCCCAGTAGGGCTGATGCCTGATACGGAACCGCGGAAGGCCCAACGGGTTGCCGGGACTGCGGCTCGAAGAGCAGGAGTAGGAACGGGGTGGTTTTTAGTTACTAAGAGTCTGACACTCCCTCTCGCCTAACCCAATGCGGGTGAAGGCATTGGATGATTTTCCCCCTTAAAAAAAACCCACACACACATTCTCACAAACGTTCGCATTTGTAATATTAGTACGATGACAAAAAATACATTTTCTTATATTTGAAGACGTGAGTACATGGCAAGTAATTTATATGTTGTAAAATATTTCATAAAGTCGTAAACTCCTTTCTAAGGAAATAAACTGAAGGAAATCTCCTGAAAAGTAATGTAGGGTCGCTGTACTCTTTACTACAGCATACATTTTACAACTGTCGCATCTGCTATGGAATTTTGAATATGGATATAATATTATTACAAACCTTCAGATTTTTGCAAATATTTGAAGCTATTTCTCTGCATGTCTACTGTAAAGATTCTATTTTATAACTTTACTCATAGATATTGTCACAATTATATTAATAGGTTAATTTATTAATTATTTAGTATTAATTTATTTCTAAAATATATTTCTATTTTTGTTCTATGTATATTACTTATGTTAATATTAGTTGTAAATACTTTAGTTTTTATTTAGCTTAGCTCTAGTTATTTATTATTATTTAGTTTGTATTTATACATACATTAGTTTATTTAATAATTGGTCGTAATAAATAGGTGATGGTTCTTTAGTGTTAAACTGTCAAACACCAAGCGGTCACCGGTGACCGCAACCTATTGTTCTATAATTGTGTCTATAATGACGGTACTCAACGAGGTAAATATTTTTTTCTAAAACATGAATATGGAATATAATATGCTAAATGTTATTTTCGTTAACTAGTGAATTTTATATCATTACTAGCGACCCGCCCCGGCTTCGCACGGGTGCAATATGCATGATATAAACCTTCCTTAAGAATCACTCTATCTATTAAAAAAACCGCATCAAAATCCGTTGCGTAGTTTTAAAGATCTAAGCATACATACGGACATACAGCGAAAGCGACTTTGTTTTATACTATGTATTGATACCTGAATTTTAAATAATAATCAAAGATTGATTTTCACCTCATTGACAAATAAGTACAGGGGAATATCCTAGTGAGGGACAACTTCAAAAATCCCTTTAATGTGTAATCGGCTAAATGCCTGCTTTAGGTGTATATTTCAAATGAATATGATTTTTTAAGGAAAATTTTGGTGAAATTTTGTTTAAATTAACTTCATTTTCAGTGGCTCCTCATCTTGCTAACGTGTGTGGTAGCTGTGAGTTTAGGAGACAGAAGCGCTATCATACATCGTCACCACCACCACCGACGACGTCCCTTCATCCTAGTGAACAAAATGCCACGGGCCCGCGTTCCCAAAACAATCATTATATAACTAATTCGTTTTGTTCACATTAAGTGAACAAAACGAATTACTGAGTTTGTAAATTAATTACAAACTCAGTGACGTGATGACAAGACAATGCCAAGTAAATAAATGATCCTCCAGCAATTGTGTTTCCGTTATACTCGAAAATATCCCAAACATTTACAATTTCATCCCTTTTATTTCACTAATAACTTTAAATGGCTTTCTAAACATTTGAAGACTATTAAAATTTGTTGGATCTCGCACCAAAAAGGTTACTGACCTCCCGAAAATGAGTTTACCTACAACAAATTATTCCATTAAAACATTGAGAAAGTTTAGTTTCCGAGATACTAAACTAAAACAATAATACGTGCTAGCACTTAAAACAACTTTATCTAAAGTGGAACAATAACAGAAAATAAACAACTTTATGATGATAATCTTTCGTAACTGCTAAAATAAGTCCGTGTTTTTAAGAATTTCAAAACTTTTTGCTGTCTATGGTATTTAGAAATAGCCGGCGTAAGTCCTTGGTGTAATCAGTGCGGTCGGGCGTCGGTGACACTGCACAAGGCTGGACGTGCTCATAATGTTTAATGGGCCGAAGGAGGATATTCTAACTTTATCCGGTTACACGACCATAGTTCGCATCGCCGTACACTTGACCACTGATATAAAAGAAGTCCCGATTGACTGATTGTTATCATTGTGCAACGGATCTTGTATCCTACAGTTTCAAACATCTTTCCACAATTTAAAACCATTACCAAGATGTTCAAATACGTAAGTATATAATTACTATTTAAGTGCATTTTTAATGTTATTTCAATATTAAACTGTCAAACACCAAGCGGTCACCGGTGACCGCAACCTATTGTTCTATAATTGTGTCTACAAAACCGGTACTCGACGAGTTAAGGTCCTTAGCTTTTCAAGCTGGAGTATTTATTATTTTCATTGTTTGATGCCCTTTTATCTCGCTCATTACACAGTGATAGATGTATGTTTATAATTTTTGAGAGACGTTAGATAGATTAGATAGTTTCTAATAGAAGTTAATAATGTCCAAATTTATATTGATCAATTAACGGTTTTTAAAGTGTTCTTATTTCAGTTACCAAAACACCTTTGTTACTGTTCATATTTGACTGCACGGTTGGTGCGGTGGCTGGGCAACCGGCTGCCGTGCAACGTGTCGCGGGTTCGATTCCCGCACGGAACAACACTTTGTGCGATCCACAAATTGTTGTTTCGGGTCTGGGTGTCATGTGTATGTGAACTTGTATGTTTGTAAACGCACCCACGACACAGGAGATAATCCTAGTGTGGGGCAACGTAAAAAAAAAAAAAAACATTATTGTATTGAACCTTTTTATTATAACCTATTTTTACTTGGAAATCTTTTTTGTAAAGTGTCGAACAGTAAATTGGAGATTTTGTCTTAAACTAGGGTAACGACTATTTTCCTTTCATCTATGAACTTCATTTTTTTTGGGACGGTAGATTAATAAATTGTTGTTTCTAGGTGTTGTTCGCTGCTCTCTTGGCTTTCGCCTCAGCAAAGCCTAAGCCTCTGGTGTTGGAGTACCCTGTAGCGGCGTACACTGCGCCTGTAGCTGCTGCCTACACTGCACCTGTCGCCTACTCCGCGTACAGCGCCTACGACTACGCTCTTCCCTATTCTGCCTACACCTACGCAGCTCCGTACACATACTACGTACGTTGATACTCCACATACACGAAACACGACTTCGACATAAATGTAAATTGAACATATCGCACAGCAATCATCGAAATAAATGAAATTCGATACAATGCTCTCTTTATTTGAACCCTTTATTACGACTTCATGTATTTGTGGATGACCGCCAGTTCATTGTATTTTCACATTGGTCATTGTTAACTAGGTCAGGTCTCAGTGTTCCTCATTGTTTAGGTTCACATATTATTATGTATTCTGAAAGGTTAAAGCCTTTATGATTGAATAATAGCATAATAGACGTAATACAATTACTATTTGTAATGTAATAATGCCGTAAGTATTCATTGCCTTACTAATTGTGACGAGTTGTTGAGTCCAAAATGCCTCAACATTTAAGGTCTTAACGGACGTAATTGGTAAAGTCATTATGTTTTTGCTTTAAGGGCATTAAAACACGTTTGAATCGTTACAGAACTTACAAATGACCATGTATTTGTATGATATCTTTGCAAATGTTGTTGCTATTATGCCATTATTAAATAAACGTGCACATAATAGGTTCTTATGTATTTCAATACGCATAGCCTCTATAAACGTCACCTAAGAAACTATCAAGGCTGCGCATTTTGGGGTATTATTATAGTGTCGAGACGAAATTAGAACGCACGCTAATTTAGCATAGGACGAAAAGTCGCTGGTAAATTAAGCAGTGGTTGAGAGAAGTTGGATGAATGTGTTAACTTCCAGTCGATGTTTATGTCGATTAATGTCGGAGATTAGTGATTTTATCGTTCGATACGGCAATAAAGTGGAGCCATAATGAACGTCGCTGACGCCCGAGACGTATAGTGTGGAAAACGTGAGAACTTGACGTACGTCACGTGATGGCGCCCACATTTACAGTATACGTACCATTTATTATCAAATCAAGCTTTTATTTGATCAAGTACGTGCAGTTTGTTTTGATTTGAGTTTGTTTTACGATTTGTTTTTCCTTAATTTTCATACTAATTAAATAGGATTTTAAGAAGCTGTACTTGAATTACTGAAATATTGTAAAAAAACCATCATAGTACAAATGGTCACGCAAAAAAAAAATTACATTACATAACTTGAGAACTTTTTCTTGAAAATGTATGATTGAAAATGTATTCGATTTGTTTACAATATAATTTCTTTTCTTGAAGACATTGATAAGTGAGAAATGGGGCAAATATTAGTACAAACAAAACTACATACATCACAACTCGCGACTATCATCATCACTGTATCACTGTTGCTATACTAACATTTTGCCGAGTGCGCGATATTAGCGCATTCATGACGCAACCTACTAACAAAATTATGTTCTTTATAGCCACACTAATTAAACTGTCAAACACCAAGCGGTCACCGGTGACCGCAACCTATTGTTCTATAATTATGTCTACAATGACGGTACTCAACGAGTTAATTACCGTAGTACAATAAATACTCTCTTCGAGAATGGATAAAAAAACAGTAATTTTATTTCTGTGAACATCCCGTCTTTGTTGACAACATATTACACACAACAAATACATCTCAGTACACGGGAAATAGCTCGTACAATCACCAACAACTCTACTTACGTTACTAAACAGATAGCAGTACCCGACTTCTAAGAATCCCTATTAATTTGAGACGACTCACCTAGTATTCAACACTCAAGTTCCCAGGAAATGTATCATAGGACCCGAAGAACCACGCCTTTATAAACACGTGCTGACTAACGCAAATGCAACGGGTTGCAATCTCCATTCCCCAGGCACGTGAACACCTCGATACACAGAGTAAACATCACCTTGGATGCCCACACGTGTGAAAGCAATTAAAAATATATTATTTGCTAAAATATAATATAGTAGTAGCCTATATTTTCTGAATAAGTTGGCAGTATTTTTGGGTCAAAAAATGTCTATTAAATATGAAAACTTTTAAAAAGATATTTTGGTAATTTTAAACTCTAATCTACTCACTTTTTCTACTTTGTGGTTTTGAAAGAAGGTTCCTAGAAAGAAGGACTTGCAAAATTTTTTTAGTACAAACTTTTATATTATTAGTTTTGTATCAATAGGCTATTCTCAAACTTTTTGACTTTTTTTAAAAGTTCGTATATTATCAAGTATAATTGTCATTTTAGTAAAATATGACCGCTTTATGCCGAAAAAAAAAGTTCAAAAATTTGTCGTAAAATATACGCGCCAAAACAAGGATCGCCATTTTGGTGACATCAATAGCACGAAAATATTGACACGTCAAATGGCAGTCTTACATTTTGTAAACAAGTTGGTTGCGTTGTGATTTTATTGTATTTATAAAATAAAGATGAGTTTCAATAACCCGTATCGTTGGTGTGTTGCGTTAAATTGCAAGAATTTTAAATTAAAATGTTATTTATTAAACACAAAAAGTAGGTAGTTAATATTTCACTTGACAAGAATGCTATTGTTTAATAAAAAACACTCTCGAGAAAATAATGGCGGACGACGTTAAACTATTATTGTTGATACATGAGAATACCCTATTCTAGTTCAATCAAAAACAGTCGCCTGATAATAAGTAGGTTTGACATATAATTTTTATTTTAATATCCGTCTAGTAGATTACTTGAAAACATTACACATGTTACACACATTATTTTCTTAAGGAAACAAATACTTTCGACACGGAAAATCGTGTGACGTCACTTCTAGGTACGTTTTATACGCAGAAACGACATTTTTGCTCCCACTCCCTAAACTTTGATTCGTTTTGTCTAAGTATTGTTTTTTGTATGATAAAATAAAAAGTACATGTCTAATATTCTTTCATTATCTAAGTGACGGACTAATTAGATTTTTATTTTTCATCCCCTGTTATCATCCCTATTGTATACTTTTAGTTTTTTACTATCATTAGTTCGACAGACTAAAATATCACACAAAAAACCAATTGGTATCAATACCATGAAATGAAACCAATAAAATTATGTAGTGAATTTATCCTCAACGACGTCAAAGAAAAGTTATATTTTTAAATATTTCAAGATAGAGAGCCAGTAGGTGTATCAATTTGTGTGACTTTTTGAACTTGAAAGGAATATAACAGAACGCCTACAATACGTATTATGCCTCAATCATGTGTAGACTCAAAATGTATGTGGCAATTATATTTGTCCCCTAGAGTACAAAGTTCTTCAGTTTAGACATAGTATCAAAAACAAGAAGAAGCTTCGAGAATTCTATCAAAATGTTATATTTTACAAGATATGATGTAACATGCATTAATTCCGTCCACTTTCACCGAGCTACAAACTTTCTAGATCATAGTTTAACTAACACTTCGAGTAGATATGTTACCTTCAGGGAAATTAACAAATTATTCGTTTGTGATTAGTTTGATTCAGTTTTGTATCTGTTACTCAATACTTAA